TGGCCGGTTATAGTTTCACGGCTCCATCCTGCTAAAGCGCGACCAGCCCGGCTAAACCCGGCGCCGGTCTCGGCTCAAAATTTTAACTGGGGAGTTCAACTTGATGTGTGCTCAAATTGATGTGTGTTCAACTTGATGTGTGTTCAACTTGATATGTGTTCAACTTGATGTGTGTTCAACTTGATGTGTGTTCAACTTGATGTGTGTTCAAATTGATGTGTGTTCAACTTGATGTGTGTTCAAGTTGATGTGAGTTCAACTTGATGTGTGTTTAAGTTGATGTGAGTTCAACTTTATGTGTGTTCAAATTGCTGTGTGTTCAATTTGATGTGTGTTCAAGTTGATATGTGTTCAACTTTATGTGCGTTCAACTTGATGTGTGTTCAAATTGATGTGTGTTCAACTTTATGTGTGTTCAACTTGATGTGTGTTCAACTTGATGTGTGTTCAACTTGACGTGTGTTCAACTTGATGTGCGTTCAACTTTGTCTGTTCAACTTGATGTGAGTCTAAATAGACGCGTTTCCAACTAGATGTCTGTTCGACTCTGAGTTCAACTTGAGAGGAGTTTAACTTGATAGGAGTTCAACACGATATTAGTTCAACTCTCTATTAGTTCAACTCGATATGAGTTCAACTCGATATGAGTTCAACTCNTCGATATGAGTTCAGCTCGATATGAGTTCAACTCGATATGAGTTCAACTCTCTATTAGTTCAACTCGATATGAGTTCAGCTCGATATGGGTTCAACTCAATGTATGATGAACTTCCGGAGTCCATGATGGATTATCATAACGTTTCTACTTGAATTACAATTTCACTTTCTTCATGTAAAATTTTTCAATTTCATAAACATGAAATATTTTGGAAATTGTATTTTGGAAATTCATCGGCTTGAACACTAATCCTTACTTCGTCTCCATTTAATAATTCAGCTTTTAAATTTATGCTTTGGTATCCAATAGTTTAGAGATGCAAAATAACTCATGTGTGAAATTAGGCAGGAATTCTTTATTAAGTCTTTCCGCTTCTTACTAATTCTAACTCAATCTGAAATATTATATTTTTCCGCTACGACTTTTCTTTCTTGGAGTAAATTCATATATTTTGTTTTATTTTTCTGCTCCGATAAAGTTTCACGAGAAGCAACTTTTTTTGATGTTTGATAACCATTATTGTAATTACATTCCAAATCTGGCAAATTATCGTACCACTTTCTTTTCTTTGGGAATGTGAAATATTTCCAGCAATCAATACAGAGATATTGATTCGTATTGAATAAGTTTTTAAGATTTGTATTTGTTGAGTTTTCCGATCGACCGCAAACAAAATACGAAAAACTCAAATTAAATGCCCAGATAAAACTCTTTTGAGGGATACTTTTTTCTTTCTACAATACGTGGCGGGTTTTAAATTTAAAATACGCCACCGCAGCACTGCAGCGGCCATTCCGCGCCTGTGCGCCGCGTAGCTACATTTGCTCGGAAGCCACAAACGCCGTTACGGAACCGATCGAGTCTACATATTTTTGCGTGATTTTAAAATGTCTCCAGTTACTTGTTCGGTCAATTGGGCTAATAGATTGAAGCAAGTGTGCTGAAATACGTAATTCATATGCTACTTGAATGTTGTTAATCTCCTGACATTAATTACTTAATTAAGTGATCGAGAGTGCATTTATTCACGCATGAAAATAGCATAGAATTTATGTTGAAATTATATCGCTCAGTTGTGGTAATACAAACGTCTCATGACTCGCAGGTACAAAGCTGCACCGCTGACGCCTACCGCGCATGTTCTGCTGCTGTGGCGACAGCCGTCACGACAGAACCAGCAGGTCAGAGACATAGAATAGAATAGAACAGAAGTGTCGGCACTGAAGAAATGGCCCATGGCCTGTTGCCGATTCTTGAATTTTTTGTGACTTGATCATAAGGGAACCGGCATTTGGAACCCTATCTTTCCATAACTGACGATTGATTGAGATAGCTGCTGGACTTATTGCCTGACCCGTAATTTGCTAGGAATTTTAAGACTGAACATATGCTTCTACATAGCTTCGTCTAGTCTAGTCTGTTCATGAAGGCATTCATACTCGGAGCGTCAACGATGCTATCAGGGAGGCTGTTCCACATGTCAGTGACTCGAAGCGAGAAGAAATGTTTTCGCATGGATGTGTTACAACGCAGTTTTTTTAGTTTATAGCCGTGGCCCCTGGTGTTGGTTCTTGTTTCAAATTCTAGTAATCCTTCTGGGACCTTGTATAAGCCATGAGTATACTTGTATGCTTCAATGAGTTCCCCACGCAGACGTCGATAACTGAGGCTTGGAAGCTTCATAATCTTTAATCTTTCCTCATAAGACTTGCCTTGCAAGCCCGGAATTATCCTTGTTGCACGTCTTTGAACACTCTCTATTCAATTTTTGTCCTTTTCAAGTTTCGGTGACCACACGACGTTTCCAAACTATAGGTTCGCGCGCACGACAGCAACAAACATCTGCTTCATCGCTTCTGCATCTAGGAACTCGAAAGAGCGTCTGATCAGTCCAAGTCGTTTATTGGCTTTATTAACTAGACCCTCAATATGCTTAGAAAATTTCAACTACATTGCGTACTACACCAATTTGTATCTCTACTTCCGGGGTGATCTCTCTAATTTCGTTAACACCTTTAGTCCCAATTAATTTCCTACATAATTTTTGCCCTCAGGCAAAACTGCATAAGGGGAGCGTATGGGTTCAAAATCGACAATTTTGGCTTTTCCGGTTTATAGTCTCATCTTAAAGCTGACATTCTGACCTATCCTATGATATCAAAACGATCTCTATACGTTGATTTATGCGTTAACAACAGATCGCTAAAGGGTTAGGGGTGGTGGAGTTCTTTAACATCTAAGGTAAGCGTCTGGCCAAAATTTTATCTCGGCTATTTACAGACGGATCACTTTGAAACTTGGCACATATATGTAAAACCAAAATCCAATGCTTCTTTTCATGTAAATTAAAAAAAATGAAAGAGAACGCGAAATTCTTAGAAAACGGTCAAAAAAGGGGTACTGTAGAAATCTATCTCCTCTTAGGATTTTCAAGCTACAACATCGAAACGCATATCATTCGATGCGTGAGGACCATATCTATCGATTCGAAGTAGCTTTTTTGAAATTTCAATTTTTGTTGGTGGGGGGAGCATTTTTCATGAATTTATCGGAAATTTTTCGATTTCCCCCTATTTCCCACCACCTTTTTAAAAAATATTTTCAAAACTATAATGAGATTGAAAAAAAGCTACGACCAATATCTAGATCTTTTACTTGCAAATCGAATGGTATATCTTTCATCGCTGTAGCTTTAAAACTGTAGGAGGAGATAGGTTTGCAGTGACAATAAGTGTGAATGTCCTTGCGCATTGAATGATATGGGTCTCGATGTTGTAGCTTGAAAATCCTAGGAGGAGATACCCCCTTTCTACAGTACCTCTTTTTGCAGTTTTCTAAGAATATCACGTTTTCTTTAATTTTTTTCAAAAAATTTACACGAACAAAAAAGTCTTATATTATGTTTTACAAATGTTTACCAAGTTTCAAAGTGATCCGTCCGTAAATAAAAAGGTTTTTCTGGGACCCAGACGCTCCACATAAGTTTTGCCCTCAGGAAATACTTCATATGGAGTGAAATGCATCCATGTATTATTACCATTCTAATGAATAACCTTATGAATGCATAATTGGCACCATACCATGGTTAATTTTCCATTTTACTTGCGGGAGTAAAATTCAGCCATTGAAACTCTGTACTACCTTATTTGAAAATCATTAGTAATTTCGCATTGCCAAAAAATTAAGATGTGTCATTCCACTTTCCGTGTACGACTATGATGGCGAATATCAATTCGTTCCATTCTAAATTCCTTTTTTACTATTGCAGTCTCCTGCACCGCAGAGGAGCTGCAGTGCGGCGCCATTTGCCTCCCACTCTCCACGCGGTGCAATGGCGCCTCAGAGTGCGACGACGGGGAGGACGAACTCAACTGCCCAGGTGGGGAAAGTTCACCCGAAACTCGTATGCACCCAACTATTGCGATTAGAATTTTTGCCGCACAAAATAGGATTAGCAGATTTCGGTGGATATGAATTGTAAAGTAATATGTTGACGCAAAAGATATCCTCGTTAAAATATAATCACTCAGTGTGACGTTCTGCAATTATAACTTTTGTTATAATTACACACGTAGAATACCTATTTATAGTAATTTTCTTCAATTGGTATAGCATGAATTAGAATGATCACCAGTTAGAATGTAAATTTGTGGGAAACATTGTATCCTCTTTTACTTCGCAGAAGGCTGTGTGTCAAACCAGTCTAATAATTTTTTATCCTTTTCCACGTCTCAGGAAGCTGTGCATCAAACCAGTTTCATTGCGACGGCGTTTGCTTCCCCCGCAAGATTTTATGCAACGGCCGGACAGAGTGCGACGACGGGACCGACGAGGCCAACTGTGCAGGTGGATTATGCTTCTTTCTTCATTGTGCGTTCATCAATAATGGAAAAGGGAACTCATTAAACTTGTAGTCGATTCATTCCTTTTACATAATCCTGAATTGTTCAAGTTCGTCATTTTTGCATCAACCACGCTGCTGATATACCTTCATCTGTTCCCAATGCTGCAAATACCTATCAAGCCGAAACACTGCGAATGACGTCTGTACACCGGAACCACATAAAGTGCATCAACGATAACGTTTTACACCCATCGATAAATAATTAATCGAAGTGACAGAGACTGGTTCGCACATACCTCAGCCTCATAAAATTTTACTAAGTCGCCTCGGTTACCTATGCAATTGGACTATATTATGAAGAGTAACTGTATTCAATCCCAAAATGAGAGCAAAATATAGCTTAGAATAACGATACTTCGTAACGACAATAATCGTAATAGCAATAGTTCGGAAACAAAATTGACAAAAGAACAAAATTGATTTTGCAATCACGGCAACTTCACGGTAAAGGAACCCAATCTCTGTCGCGTTTTCATCGCTGGGTCACCTCAGCCTGTACCGCTGACCGGGATTCCGGCGAACATTACGGGTCAGACCTAATGACAGGAGACCAACTCTCCGTTCCCATCCAAAGAATTGAAGGCTAAAATTTAGTTTTATATCCTTGTTGCCTCCCTCTTGTCAATGGTATCCTGAGCGGGGTTTCCTCCACTGGAATATTTTATCGGCACCAACAAACTACAACATCGTCACAACGTTCCCATATGTTAGTCCTCGATCCTGTAGATACTATCATTCATGCCATCTTGAATTATACTTCTGATGCTCAAATAATAGTAGTAACAATAAAAATAATGATACAATATAAATAACAGGATGTCTTGTTAGAATAAGCGGTGCCTAAGAGGCTCAGCAAAATTTCTAATTAGCGTGTAACTTTTCATTCTCTAGTGGGGCCGCAGTCCCGCTGTGATGCCTCCTTGTGCCCGTGCTCCGTGCCCGGCATGGAACGCGTGTGTTTACCATGTCACGAGCTGCACAACGTCACGGACACCTGTCATAAATTGAGTGAGTGTAATTCGTACACGGAGTTTTTGGTTTGAAAGATAAATGTTTTTGCATGATGGGAAGTCGATTTTTCCGATGCCGAGCAGCGATATGTATTTGAATTAGATATATCAGCTTAAAAAATTCTCTTGAATCGGAAACCAGTGAGAATAACAAAATGAGATTTTATTTATCAAATGGAATAGTCACAAAATGTTTCATGTTGTTGTCTATTTTACAGAGTTCAATGTGTGTTCCTTCCATACATTAATTTTTTAAAATACCTTTTAAGCGGACCATTTTTGGTAAAATAAAAATAAAAACATTTTTATTTGCGGACGGATCGTTTTGAAACTTGGCACACATATGTAAAACAAAAATCTATTGTTCGGGTAATTTTTCGGAGAAAAATAAAAAAAAAAGTGAAATTAATAGAAAACGGTGGAAAAAGAGGGTACTGTAAAAAATCGCCTCATTCAATGAACGTGCTACAACATTGAGATACATGCCATTGGATTCGTAAAGACCAGTGCATATACTTTCAAAAAAAAGTTAAGAGTTCGTAAGTTCATCAGCCAATCATTGACGGCCTTTCAAGCAAAATCCATCAATCATAGACTAGAACATAGATCGTAAATACTTACGTTGACTTAGCGAATTTTGGAAGTATGGCCACATATCTAGACACCATCCGATCATTTATTGCAATTTATAATTTGTTCGGGTGAGGGAAGGGATTTTCCGTAATTTTTCAATTTTTGCCTCCTAAATAAATGAATAAAAGATGAACAACCTACTAAGTCAACTTATTTTAATGTTTACTTAGCACAATCGCACTATGCCCCCTTTTTACAATATATAATCCAAACTATAACGAAATAAAAAAATTATCGGTTGGATTGTAGAAATTTTATTTACAAAACAAATGGTATGTCTCTCAGTGCTGTAGCTTGAAAATCATAGGAAGGCAACGATTTCTAAGATGCAAAATTTCAATTTTTCAGAAGAACCTAAAAACTGAAATTGAAATTTTGAATTTTTTTTCAAAAAGTGTTCAGTTTGGCACACGAATAATTATAAAAGAGGAGGAAAATTACAAAACGGGGGAGAGATATATTGCGGGAAGAGAAAATATTGGAGAGAAGACTAATAATGAATAATGAAAAGAAAATAATAATGAAGCGAAGGTCATTCAAAAATTTCCTGTGCCGTATGAAGTGCTCGGTTGCGCCTAGCGCTTCTTCATCGCCTGCAACTTGGAGTGGCTGCTATTTCTGCATCCTTGGCCTTGAGTCCGGTCAGGTATTCATCCGATTCCACGCCATGCATGAGCTCGAAGGAGGCTTTCCTGCAGGTCTCCGAAGTTGTGATCCAAGACGGTCCAGCGTGTAACAAATTGAACTCGCTCCATTGTAGCGAATTTCTCCTTGGAGCACATCAACCAGATCTTGGAATGGAGGCTCTCGTTGGAGTTTTGCGTACGTTGTTTCAAGCATCGCTACAGCAGCTCTTCACTTGTCAAGTCCACATACACTTGCAAGATACCTTTCAAGGGTGCAGGGGGGATTTTAGCAAGGTAGAGCTTATTGGTGGAACGTGAAGCTGGGACCTCTCCAAGAGCTTCCGCTCTACACACCCAACACCAGGACTCTGCACCACGGGGGTAAGTCATGTGCTTAGGGTTAGCGTCTGTACTGCTGTAGTGAGAATAAGACGCCAAGATTGGTGCTCTCACGGTAGCAACATCAGAAGTGGAGTCGCGCTTCCGGAGGTTTTGACGAAAATACGTTGTCAAAGCATCAATGGCTGTGTCGGTAAACAGTCCTGCTCCAGCATACGCGCTCCTCATGACTGGTTTTCCTCCCTTCGTCATGGTGGCTACATTCGTCTTCAACTTCAGAGCTTTGAGCAGGGACCCAATCTCTTTGCGACGTGGTTGATGCAGTATTCCTTGACCACAGGGACATCATAGGGGCCTTGACCGCCATTCAAGTCACAGACAGCTTTTAATGCAGACGAATCACCTTCGCTCAAGAAGGTGATAAATCGAACACCAAGTTGAGTCGACCTCTTCCAATGCCTCACTGCAGCCTGCTCAAAATCGCTCAACTTCCCATTGAAAATTTTCTTGCACTTTGCTTGATGTAGTTGATTCCATTTGGCCAACTCGTCAGCAGGCAGAAACGCTTCTTTCTAGCTGCAGCTTTGGCAATAGTTGCAGAGAACTTCGAAGTCGATCACGGAGCCACCGACACTCAACCACGAAAGCAATCCCGATGTGTGACTTGTGACCTCTTGTCATGCAAGTGTCATCAAAGCTGACGTCGATGTCGAGAAGTCTGTCACCATCTCTTCCTTCCGAGCTCTGGTAGTAGCTTCGAACTGTTTCAGTTGCTTTACGCTGCTTCGATACGTACAGCAGCTTCATCTGCCTGTACAAGAATGAGGCATGGCGGTAAAATGCCGTCTTACCGAAGCCGTTTATCGAAAGCGAAGCACAGACGTTATGGCAGCCAGCATAGCCATCACTATTCATGATGGAAGTATATACGAGGCTTACATTTTGTAACCTGTAAATCGTCTCTTCACCATCAAGATTAGTGGCCACCTTAGCAGTGTAAACTGCTTCCTTCGCTTCACACACAGAGCACTGACTTGGGCACGCCCTCAGCACGGGTGAGTCACCTTGGTCACGATGTGATCCCTAAGCACCGAAACCGCGACAGGTGCACCACATCCACCGCAAGGAATAGCACTAGCCAGCTGCTCAAGAAAAGGAATGGGGACAACACAAGTTTGCTCGTTACCTTGAGCCCGCGGCTGCACAGACGCGGCGTCGGGAACATGTACAAGACTATGGCTTCGACGGAGAATATTCTCCATTGGAAGCATCGGCAATTCTTCTTCTAATCTGGCTTACTTTGTAATTGAAAGCAGCACGAAGCTTTTATGCGGTTGCTTTTTCTTTGGCATCGGTGATAAAGATGGTCTCGAAGGAAGTTCGCAAAGAGATGAGGAGAGCAATAGTCCACACCGTCGCACGCAGTGAATGCCGCCACGCAGTCAGCGCCGACCGGAAATGGCTGAGGCGGGGAGTTAAAAAGGATCGCGCTTTGACAGCTGCTGTGAACGTGAAAATGAACGCACAATTTTGGCTTTGGGCATTTTAAATGCTCGGATCTTGGAACTTCAAAATAAGACTAAAAACTGGAGAAGCCTAAATTTTCAATTTTTGACCGAAACGGTCCACTTAAATTATTTTCTTGAAATCCTCTTAAAAGTTCTAAAAATTTAACTCACCAGACGTTGTCATTGCATTTTAATACATTATTTTTACCATTTTGACACTTTTTACTATGTTTTAAGCGATAATCATTTATGAAATAATTGGGCAGACTTACGTGAGCTAGTATATTATAGTAGCTGATGGTTGCGAAGATTATTATATACGTCCTAAAAAATGAATTTATATTTTCCATTACATATTCCAACTTAGAAATTAAATCATTAATTTATGCAAATTTGCCCACGTCAGAATCCGGGAAGCCTCTTTGCTCCGTGAGAAAGGCGCCTGGTGTGGACATCGATGTACTAACCTGCGGCGGTCAGGATCTGCAGCTGTGAGTTACCGTTGCCCTGTTCAGGAGATGGCCTAACATGATCCCTTCCTACAATATCGTAGCTTCCAATAATTCTGGTCTATCACTTTAGCAAATCATAAGCCTTAAAAGAGAGACCAAATTCAATGAATAAAACCAACCAGCCCAGCCCCAGCAAAGAATGGTATAGCCCAGCATCGCCTATAATGCATGAATTGTTTTATAATCGGATAGAGTTTGTAGTAACGTTTCAGTATTCATTCTCCCACCATCAAGCCACCAGTATCCGTCCACAGTATCGAATCAGCCCCCATCGAACGGTTAATAGCCGGAATTGATTATGGATTTTGGAGCACAACCTTACGTTCCAAGCCTAAATTCTGCACTGACAACGTATTTTAGCGAAGTGACTGTTTTTCCTATGAAATTAAGTTTCTCCGGTGTTTTAAGTATGAGGACGCAGGCCAGCTGGCGCGGAATGTCTATTTGATAAATGGTATGGTGGTCCATGGGAGGTTTCATGCAACTATTCGGGAGAGCTATGATGATTGGTCACGGTGCGAGGGCACGAGCTATGTTAGGTACAGATCGAGCGCCAGTACAGGTGCAAATTATGCGATGCTTTGATGTAACGTTTATTGCTGGATAGACATTGGTACCTGGGCTATTCGCTTCCGTAATTTGTTAGTAAATCTCCACAGATATAAATAGAATATTGTAGTTGGCCACTGACAGCCTCATTCGGCGACGGATTTGTGGCTATACGGATTCATGGCGTTCTATCCAAAACTGATTGACGTTCAAATTTGATGTTGCACGGCGGCTGCGCCCACATTTCCGGCTGATTTTACTAAATTATTCAGCATTGCGCTTCCGCTGCCGATTACCAGCTGACGTTATTGAGTTAGCAAAGAGTGCGCAGCATAGGCCACTAACTTAGCTCTTAATTAACTCTGGAGACAACAATCAGCTTCAACATACAACTTTATTCAGACACAACACTAGAAGCCTCAGACTACGCTGTAACTCCGTAATCCAGACTAGGGACACAATGCTAGAAATATAAAATCGCCATAAGTCTGAAGCCAATACTCTAACATACTCACACATTTGCAGAATGTTCGAAATCCGGTCTCTCCTACTCCAGCCTAACCTCATCTGGTTTAACCTATTTACGCTGCCCCGACTCACAGCATTCTTACTGCCAATAACCGGCTCTACCTGCTCTCTTGAACCGCCTCTCTAACTTGCTTGTTGCAAAGTGTGTAGGTTAGGTTAGGAAGAGGTTAAACCAGATGCAGTATGACCATGCTTAAATCGAGGCTGCGGAGGTGCACTGGAGAATGCTTGAAGCGAGAAAGTATTCAGAACTTTGATTTGTCGAGTTTGGTGGTTCGCTTAGTGACACTAAATATCATACATATATAATTCACATAATTATTAAAACATAATACAAACATAGTTTTAAAATTTGGATCTCGTTAGTTAAAAAAATCGTTTTCTTTGTTTCAGGAACTTTGGAACATTCGAAAGGACATCAAGGTTTGTTTAATTTTAGAATCGCATCATGGTAGTCATTCATTGTGATGTTGATTAAATATCAATACAAAATACTCCGCAAAAATTGTTTGGTACGTAACGTCACCTCGTATAAATAACAGTCATGATAAATCGTAATATTGACTATAAAACAGCAGTCTATTCATGCATGAAATTATTATGCATGGCCTGTATCATCAATCAGTTAACGCTTTCTTCCCCATTCAGGCCCTGCATCCGAAATATGAAGGTGCCTGTGCTGACGGTGGTCCTGGCTGAGTGCTGGGGCAGTGCAACCCTGGCTCTCAGGTGAGATTTTTCAGAGTTAGGGCGTTTTCAGAGTAAATGAGACTAAGAGTAAATCTCCGTCAGGAATTGGCCTTGTGATGTCATTGATATTATGATTTTTTCGAAAACCGTAATAAAATAGAATTCAAACAAATATAGGTAATTCGATACATTCGTGAATGTGAATGTATTGACGAGCGGCATGATATTATGCTTGCATAATTCGGGTTGTGTGTTTGGGTGCGCTTAATACGATTTTTGTGGTGTTCTGTTCGCGCTGTGTCTAGTTCTCAAAGTGTCTCGATTTGTTCGTGTAAGGCCGGGTTGTGTGATTATTGGGTGCCGTGGTCAAGTTTGTATATAGTACAGTTTTTTCTATGGAATTATCTGCGAGGGCCAATTGATATTTGCTTGAAGTTTGCAAATAAGGCAGCTATTATGGGTTGTAGGTATATTACGGGTTGTAGGCTGGATGTAGGTGTAGGTTTTGAAATGTCTCCCTGCCCTGATTGACTCGGTATGATATCTGTTGCTGTTGTGAGTGATGAGGGTTTGTAAGTAATCTACCCAAAGTGCTAGAGGAGCAGTTCCTTGGTGTAGTGACTAGCGTTCATGTCAGCGACAAGGTAAAAGGGTTGGAGCATGTTAAAGAGTCTGTACGTGGTGAGGTGTAGGTTGTTATGTTGTCGCGATGGGCTCCAGGCTGAGTTTCAATTGTAATTGCGAGCATGTCTGTGTGGAAATTATCGATGAGTTAAGTGAAGGTCTTCTAATTAGTATGGCTGCACCTCAGTGTAGTGTGTTGCACTTGACTATAATCCAGAGTATAATTTCTATAGAATGTTGTCACTTTAACTAGAACTAGTGTATTGTGTACTAGAATTAGTGTAGTTTACTTAATGCAAATGTACGCATTGTAATTAAATGTCATGATTCGGCTGTTGTTATCTTTATAAGAGTGATCGTTGATGAGAATAAAGTCTTGGTGTATATATTTGTAGATATTTACGACAGTAGATCTGCGGTTGAACCAGCCACGGACATTTTTTTGTAGTATTTTAGTGCAGACTGGAAGTTCATTGTGGAAGAAGATGCCAGGGAAGTGAATTGTTTCGTCTTTTATGTAGTCGTTGTCAAATGTTTGTCGAGGCATCCGAAAGTATGCCATTCATGCATACACTTTCGTATTGCATACACTTTCGTATTGCATACACTTTCGTATTGCATACACTTTCGTATTGCATACACTTTCGTATGTCATGCATACGAAAGTGTTAAGGTAGCAATGGTTATTATATAGGTTGTTTGTGTTGAATTTGTCCCTTCTCAGGTAGTTGAGCACTTTTGAAGTCTGCCGCCTTTCGTCGAGAGCTTCAGTCCGTATTCCTCTTTCCCAGTTTGCCGGTGTGCCTAATGCTTTGTGGGGCTAGAGATACTTGAATGGGTCTCTAGTCCCCCAGAATAGTTTGATGGCTATTGGCCCTTGTTCAGAGATGAATAATTTTGGTCGATGGCTGGATCTATGGTTATTGGTAATATTGGTACTTAATGTCTCTTAGTATGACAGTGTTTTTTTCCATCTTGAGCGTCACTATAGCAGAAAGTTGAACAGAGGCCCAGAGTTATATTCATTAATTTACTATTGGATTAAGCGCAATTAAAACAATTCCAGGCATACAAGGTTTGTTACGGATATGGTTCTTGACCAAGTAGCGTCGAGGTAGCAAAGGCTCTAGCGAAGATACCCTGTGCAGTGATGGGTTCTGATACTGGTGCGCTGTCCAAGGACCGGAGCTTATATGGTGATTCTGCAATTTTACAGGGCGTGATGTATTGAATAAGTGGTGACGCATTGATTATGTGACACTAGTTTTGTACTACATTAATAAATTATGTGACAATTCCTTATATTGTTAGAATACATTTTTCATTATCCTGGGATCTCGGTCTTCGTTTTGAGTCATGGCTATCGAGGGAGGAGGGTCATTCTTATGATTGCCGTCGTTGTTTAGTTGTTCTGGTATGTTCAGTGAGGTCGTCATCGTCTACCTTCTCGGTTTTTTGATTGAAATCAGTCTGTTGAGTCTTTTTCTCTGGTTAGTTATAGAAGAAGTTGACGATTTTTGTGGATTCTCTGCCAGGAAATGTCTTGTCGACGTCGTAGTTGGCCAACCAGTCATTTGGATAGGATGCTTCCGAATCCCTACTTACGGTAGAAGTGAATAGTGCTCCTGTTCTCACTGGTATGGTGTGATTAAAGAGTTTTATGTCAGGAGTCTGTTTCTACGACCACCTGATAGATTTGAAACTGAGACTCAGGATACTTTGTTGTTCCAAGTATGACTAAGGCAGGACAAGTGAAACGCACGGTAACACTAGATCTATTATAATAATAAAGTAGCTCGGTGAGTACAGAAGAAAGGGGATTGACAGGCACAGGACAAGTACGTGCTGGAGGAGCGGCTAGCAAGATGACGGCTAGGCAGTTCCGCTACGACTGACGAGCGGCGCACAGATCGAGATATATATAGGCCTTACCAGGGATGACGTCACTGAGCGTGACTCTACCATGTGGGTACAGAACAGGCTATAAGGTGGTGACGTATGATAACCTAGATGGTAATAAAAGATCACCGGACATTTACATCAAATAGATGCATGTTTTTGGTATACAGCGTTGGGCTATCTAGGTGTCAATGGTTATTATCTCTTTTACACGTGTTCGTTTGATTTGAATGATTTATATTACAAGTAGCCAAGATTGTGGTGTAACAATTTCGTCTGTGGCGTGGCTTCCAATGTTTTTATCCAGATGTCCAACGAAAATGATCCGTTTTATACCGAGGTCAGTGGGTATGATGGGCGGTTGTTGACAAATTGAAGAAAAACGACCGTTAATTTTCGTGAATGCGTCGGTCGCTTTTTCTGAGATGAGTTTGTCAATGACGGTGGCGTCATCGGTAACAGAAAAAAACCCAATTGAGGTGTCGGGCATTTTGTTGAGCGGGGAGCTGAGTTCTCTGAAGGTCGTATGAAATATTTTTTGTCGGCCAATTGTTTGTCTTTGGTCGATCTATGCAAGGTGGATACGGTAGGTGTGTGCTCCGGTGCGTTATAGGTTGTTGGTGATTAGGGAGGTTGTTTTCATGGTTGATGAGATGGTTTGATGACAATTATGAGGGATGGTGACTCTCGATTTCTCGGAGTCATTAGTTTATCATGAAAAAGTTTTCTAACTTGTATTTACAGAAAACGCATTAATAACAGTAAATGTTAGAGCAAATAAAATACCAAAAAAATTCACCATATATTCAATGAAAATGTGTAAACCAGCACCATCATCAGTTCATAAAATTGATCGAATTTCCCTGCGTTTCGGTGCTGGTCTCCGAAACGTTTTCATTGAAGATATGGTGAATTTATTTGGCGCTTTCTTTACATTAAAACTCTTGGAAAACTTGCGATTTCAGCAGACTAATGACTTGAGTACGTTGTTAATTTTCCTATCAAACTATCGAATGACATGAAGCTAATGCAATAAGGTAAATTACTAAACAAATTTAGCTCTAATATTCACTTACATCTAACTGACGGGATCGTACGAATGGCTACTTTGTTCATTTCTTGAAATTAGTGTATTATGAATAATATCTATCAAGTTCAACCACAAATATTTGTAGCTATTCCTCGATTTGCTCGATGATGGCGAATCATTTGTTCTGTATTATAGTTATAAGTAGTTCATAGAGCCTAGGCTGGTAAGGTGTTCGCGTGGTCGAACTGGTACAGGCGTGGACTACGACCCAGAGGACCTGCGTTCGATTCTCGGAGCAGCCGTCGACGTTTGCAGATAGTTCATAGCGATCAGTTATTTGATGTGTATATTTCCTCGATAGTTGAATTTGTTAGGTTCTAAATAACGTTACTAAATTCAATGCAATGTGAATGTGAAAAAGCAATGTCAATACAACCTGCCATTGCAAGAGAGAAGTCTAGATGATCCAGAGTGAGAAGGAAAATTTTTTTAAATCGTGGTTGACAAACGGTAAGGCGTAACTGCCGCATACACTGCCAGAGCCGCCCCAGAGCGGGCGTTGGGCTGGTTTGAGCAGGCGGTGCTCAGCGCGGGCTGCGTGTTGGCAGGACAGAGCACACCTGGGCAGGTACTCAGAGGTTAATTGGTTAATTAGCGTTGCTACGCGGCTGGCGATATCGTCTCTAATGCGGACATTTCTGCTCTATCGCGACTCTGTCGCGTCCCTATATCGGCTCTACAGCCGGCTACGGCCTGCTCTATTCCCTGCCCTAAATTTTAAGTGGGTAGGTCGGCCAGCTGGTGCGGAATGCCTATCCGTTATGCACTCAAATGTAGCGGGGTATTCTTGAGAGATGTTTCGTGAAGTAAATAAAAAAATTTAACCTGCCTCGAGGTTTTATATTCCAACAAAACAATGAGCCCAAAAACACGGCTGGTGCAACTCTTGCATGGTTTCAGGAGAGGGACATTGAGTTATTGGAATGGCCAGGCCAATCACCTGACCTCAATCCGATTGAAAATCTGTGGCGGGAATTGAAATTGAGGGTACAGGAGAGATCCAAGAAATCTTATCCAATTGAATGAAATATGCAAGGAAGAGTGGGCTGAAATTCCTATTAGCATATCTGTTAATCTTGTGAAAAAGTATTCCAATCGGCTATAGTATCATGTATGGCTGCTAGAGGTCACATGGCGAAGTATTGAGTAAATTTGTTTACTTTGTGTTGGATACTATTTGATCCTTGATTTATACAAAATTGCAATTACGAAGTCAACATTTAATGATATTGTTGTTTTGATATGATATTTGCATTTCCAGTGTAAATTTACATTAGAATAGTGTTTGTTCATATAATTTTGCTGAATAAGCTGTAATTAAATAAAGTTTTTCATTCGTGTCGGATACTTTTTTCGCCCACTGTATATAGTCAGAGCGCTGGCCGAGACATGTCGTATATTAGTCGTGGGCCATCGCTCACTTTAT